GCAGAGGAGAATCTAATGAACAAGTGAATCCAATGAGAAGTTGGACGCTTGAGACAAAGAAAGTAAGTCAAACCACAAAAATATATTTGCTGATTATGTAATCGTATCGAGGCAAAATCCAAAATGGAGCCGGAGGGCAAATGGAAAGTAGATTGTACAACTACCGCTTGCCGTAGTTCTCTCTCACTTGCCCATTGCTACTCCAATATCCACTGCATGTAAATTAAAATCTAATGGTGACGGTCCATCTAAGACATATTATAGATGGGAATTGTACTGTCTGTAGCTTATGCACACTCTGATTCGATACGACTGCGTTGTATGAAAATCCCAACACAAGAAAACAATTTTAGGTGTGCGACACGTCGCCTGCTGTTAGTTGTTTATAATGAACAGAAGTATTCACTAGCCCTTTACATCTCCTCAGCCAGTCGATGAGAAGACGTTTATCTTCATACCAGACGATGCAATCGCTAGCACTAAGAATCACAGCCCCTCCTGATTGATTTCTACAGCTACACAACCGTATTTAAACGATTTATTAACAGCATTTACATATGACAATAACTAGCCATTGAAAAAATACACGCTATAATATAATACTTTTTTCTGGCCTTATTCTCAAGAAACGAATCAGCTGTGTGTATGCTCTCATACATAAGTATCCGATGGATTAGCAGTTCACCAACAAGTACGTGGTTCAGATGAGGGTGCGAAGTCGGTGAAACACAGTCGTAAATGTGATAGCGCGGAGCAGTCATAGTAGAATTAGGCAAGTCACTGTACTTCGGGTAGGCCCGACAGGCGCCAGAGCAGCGGACAGTTGGCAGAAGAGGGACAATTCCTTAATGACGTCATTCAGACAAGGAGCTTCTTGTCGGCCGTTCTTTGGGCACCAATGTGCACTTGAACGAGCACTTTTGCAATGGGCATACTATTTTCTCCACTTCTGAGTTCCTTGCTCATACCATCTCTAACCTCAATCGATATCAACAAATACGGCATTTGGAAAGTGAAATTCGATTGAGGCCAGCAGATTTGTCTTCAGTACTTTGTCGAACTGATATAATTCATGCAATAATGAACAGATCTTTCCAGAGTAATGATATTTTTGTTGCTACTTGTGTCTATTTAAGTGTCTGTCTTTGACACATCTCCACAACAAATTTTTTGTCAGATATTGTTTTCTCTTTACGGTAAACAACCTATGTTGTCTACACTTTTTATACTCCCACAGAAAAGCACTCGCTTCCTAAATCGAGATGTCATACTTTATAGATTTTCACAGCCGTAGAGCTATATAGAGAGAAAAAGTGTGTCATCATGACCGATCGGATCATCACATAGAGGCAAGGTTTTGGACAAGGTCGAGTTAAAGTTTAACTCGAAATTAACCACTGTTGCAATTGGAAGAGTGTGTCATATATGTATATTGATGATTCTCTTCCTTTGGAAACTGCAAGTGTTTTGAGACTTTCAAACAATATGAGCTACGACATATTATATAATGTGTTTTTGTGGAGTGTTTTTGTAGCAGACACGTTTGTATAATTGGGATAGGAAGTGTGTTGCATTTGATTTCATACCAAGATCGACTACCTTCATGAACATATTCTTGACATTGAGATATGTGAATGTATTCACTTGTTTCTATGTATACTTGTCTCAAGTCAGAGGCACAAGCAAAGGCAGTGTATGCACTCCCATACATTTATTGACATTCATCTCAAGACAACAAGTTGACATACTTGCGTGTGCTATTGAAGATTGTGATGGAATATTCAGGAGTGATAGCAAAAGATCAACTATATTTTAAAATCTGAGTAAGTTGAAAGGGTAGGAACTAGACATTCTTGTGAATTTATAGCTACTAGAGTATCTAAGGCAGTGTAGAAAGACCTCCGTAATGGTTCTTCCTTGTACCCTCTTGAATTACTCAAAATGATCAAGAAAGGGCTCGATTTAGTTTGCGTGTGATATGAAAGTGACATATGAAAACTTTCTAACTCTTCTGATGTAATGATAATAGCCGTAGATGCAACACTCATGTATATGTAAATCTGAAAGACTATATACAAAAATTATAGTAGAGGTGATAGGATGTTGATTGATTGATTTTTTTATTTTTATTTTTATTCATATGGGTTGCATGCTAAATTCTTCTTCTCCACAACCGTTCTTTTGGTACGTTCGGATATTTTCCAGAGGAGTTATATTTCCATATCCCGGGCTTGTGTTCTCCAGGTCACTTCCGTGGGACGTGCCTCACATTGACGCCAGGCTGCCTGCCTTGCCTTGCTGCTCTCCATCGATCGGTTCCGCTCACGAGCCGTTTCGCATTGGGGACCATACGTCCTATCCCCAATCTCTCTCTCTCTCTCTATCTCTCTCCATCCCTCTTACGGTCTTGCTACCACGAAGGACGCGAAGGCTCCAGCAAGGTGAACCACGACCTGCCCGCCCGGTCGGTCCTGGTGCTCTAGATCCTATTACTTCTTTTGAAGGACGTACTTTCAGCCTCTCTGCTTACTTTTTGATGCCTCCGTTTGATTACACGGCTCGTGTTCGGAGTGCTTCGGTTCTGCCTGTCACCTTTGACTTTACAATAATATTCTATTTTACCATGGGTTGTGAAAGCAAAAGGTCGTGGGGATATATGAATTTTGTTCGCATTTGACAGTTGGAATGAATATCTGATGGATAGAGTTCAATGATTTCACAATAATTTACCTCCAACTTCTTTACTCCCAAGCGTTTATATACTTTTCTTGACAATGGTTTTAAATATAGAATACAGTCTTGTTATGAATCGCAACTCCTTTTTTTCTGGTATACATCAACCTGTGCCACATAATCGCAACTGAGTATAGTACAATCCCTTACAGCAGTTCGTTTCCTCACATCGAAGATGATTTTTACTTAGCCCTTTTCGATATTTTTTTGTTCTTCGTGGTAAATGTGCGGTACATCTAGAAAAAAATATATGATGATAACATTATCCCCAAAAAACAATAGTGTAGCTGAAATCAACGATGACGATCACATCCCCCGTACTGCATTGCTAATGTTCTATTTAATTGTCCATTTCACATCGATAGCTGAGGGATACATTTCTGTAAGTGTATATCAAGGTCTGAACCAAATTGAGCAAAAGCCCTTAAGGGGTGGCCCTTTGGATGTAAGACCAGATCTACTGGGACAAACTTATTTCCTTCCTCATATTTCAGCGAGGACTAGGTTTACGTTATTATTAACAAAGTTTTTTACTTTGACAACACATTTTCTGGGAACCAATTGAAGATGATACATGATATTGTTTTCAAAAGGAAATGAGGGTTTTTTTTGTTTCTGACGTGCGCAAATGACAATACCAGTGCACCTTGATCTTTGAAGCCTTAGTGAAAAAGGTGACTTCCTTAATAGATGAATAGACATATGAAAGAAAGTAGCTATTTCTTGTAAAAATTTATCCCAAGTTTGTCTACGAAAGCCAAAATCCTCTTCAACTTTATACGTATGATGTAGTTGGTTCCATTCCGTCACTTATTTTTCCCTGTAAAAGAACTGCGGAAGAAAAAAAATTGGAAAAGCTGATGTGCATGCAGTAGAAGCTTCACCTTACTCGTGTTTCTTGATCTGATTTTCAATTTTTTTGATTCTAACAATTGGCATGCAATCAAATCTGATTTGGCAGAATAGTCGATACATGTATCTGCCTGTGTATTAATCTTATGGCATCTTTTCTTCTGATGAAAATTGTATTCTCATAAAATAACCAACGGACTGATTTTCTCATGCAAGGAAAATTCTGAACTTACGAGATTGCTGGTATGGCAAATCCACGATGGACAATGCAGGTTCAGCTGAACAGACATGCATGTAACATTCTCATGCAAGTCGTGGTTAGAACAACATACCTCCAAGAATGACAGCCATCTGATTAACAATCATACATAAATCTCATGCAGAATGCACTGTATGAAGAAGCACTTAAGAGTATATTTTCTCGCTTATCTTACTAAGTCTCAGAATGACAGCAACCCAAAACAGTGTCAAGAGACTGAACTCGAAGTTTTGGAAGGAGTTCGGATGGAGGGAGGGATTATGAAATGAAATTCTCTCAAGAACGACGTGACATGATCCCGCACTTACTTACATTCTCAGCACGAGGTGTCTGACGTCTACTGTGTACAAGTGCAACGATACCTGAATGTGTATGAATGTAGGAATACATGTATATTTAATCAAATAATAATATATAATAACAACAAAAGTCAGTCGACAGAGAATAAGCATTACCATCGAACGGTGCAGATGCCTTGCTTACAGGCGAAGACGAAGAACGCGAAGTACAGGCGAGAATGCACAGAAAGCATGAATAATGCAGAGAATGAATGAATGGAAAATATCCAGGGCAGGGCGAGGAAATCCAAAAGCATTGGACAATTTAAAACGTGAAGAGGGAGAAGAATGTTGGTGTAGCACTTTTGAGCGCTGAGGTGATCGCTGTCAGCTGGAGCGCCCGGAGCGCCTTGACCTCTGGATCGACAACGGGCCTCGTTCGTTCTAGAACCCATTTGTCGGTTCCGTCCCTCCCCCAGCCCCAGCCCCAGCACGCCGGCCATACCGCGGCGCGGCACGGCAGTCGGAAGTACCACAGTAGAGCCGGCCCAACATGCTCGGGTGCGCGGATTGGATTGTGCAGATCCCGCGGTCGAGAAGGACGGTGGCTGCGAAAAGCGCCACGCCGAATCGACTTTGGAGGTCACGGGAGGAACGTAGTCGGGAGGGCAGGGCAGGACAGCAGGAGGAGGAGGATGGCTGCGTACCGAGTACAGCAGCGACTGCCCCCTGCCCTGCAGTCAGCAGCCCAGCGTTGTGAGAGCTGCACAGTCCGCAGCGAGGAGAAGGGAAGGGAGTCAGACGGCGCGGGCGGACGCGCAGAGCTGGCATCGGCTGACGTGGCGCGCGGCGGAGCCGAACGCCGCGAAAGGCTCCGAAGGCGGTCACCGGATCGCAGTACGTCCGGGCACGGCGTGCGACCTCTACGACCAGGCACGACCGCACCTTCCTTCCTTCCTTCCGGCACTCATGCCAACCGCGGTTAAAAAGAAGCGACCGCGCTTCATTTCTGACCGGACTGCGACTGACACATCGCGCGCGGACGGACACACGGAGCGATGGCGCGCGAGGAGCCGGTGACGGGATGGTCTATCCCGGTACGAGATAGAGTAGGCCGAGGCGAGGCCCTGGAGGGAGGAGGGCTATTCCACAGTACCGTACCGTATCCTGGGGTGTATGTACAGTATCTAAGGAGAGGTCCGAGGGTCTGAGCGAGCACTCAGGTCAGCGCGGGAGCATTGAGAGCGTTGCTTGTCTTGTTTGGAGTGGACACCCGCGCGCCGCCTAGCTACGCTGCAGCAGCAGATCAGTCTCTGCCGGGGGGGGGGGGGGGGGACTTCGGTGCGGCAACCGCTCGGCTTTTCGCGAGATCTGCCTCGCGCACCGACCAGCTCGGCCGAGCAGCATCCGGACCTTGCTTCCCCCCCCTTCCATCATCAATCTATCTATCTCTCTATCCCCGACCCCGCGCCCTTCTTCCCCCTGCCTGTGAGCCGAAAGCATTCTATTCTTCCTTCTTCTATTCCTCTTCCTCTTCCTCTCCTTCGTTCCTTCTGCTTGCCGGTTGTCGACTGGACGGCAGTCGGTCGCCCGGTCGCGCGCGCTGTCTGCGTGCGCGGCTCGCTTGCCACCCTTGGCGGGACAGGTTCTTCGAGACGCTGGAGGCCTGTCCGAGAGCTCGCGCTCGCTGTCTGCGCGCGGTCTGCTCGCAGCCTCGGGGCCGAGTGTGCGAGTGACATGGGCACCCGCGACGCTATTTACACAGAGAGAAGCTCGGAGCATTGTCACTGGCGTCCGGACAGTCTGGCTCGCCTTCTTCGTCAGCTCACTTCACTCTCTCCCCGTGTGCGATTCTGTGCGTATTCGAGCGAGTGAGCGAGCGAGTCCAGTCCAGTCCATTGTTGCGGTAGCGGAATCCGATCAGACAGATCATTTGCCTTGTCGTTCTCCAAACTATTTGAATCCACAGTTTCTGTCGTCAACGCTCATTCCCCTCGATGATGAACAGAGAATGCAGCTTCATAGACCTTGGTCGCAAAGAATAATCTGTTGATTTTAATTGAACCCCGCCCTCAGCCCCGCCACTCAGTCAGCCACAGCCACCCAGAGAGAGAGAGAGAGAGAGAGAGAGTGAGAGAGTGAGAAGAGAGAGAACGAAGAGAGCGCTGGAGAAAGCTGCACTGACGTCGACAAATTCGAGTTGAGTGCAATTGCGTCCACATGTGTCGCATAACACGTCCTACATTTTAAATTTCACTACGGCGGACACGTTCGAAGACGATTGGGAAAAAGTGCAGCGGAAGTGACGTGAGATACAAGTCTCGGAGTGAGGAAAAGGAAGGATCCTTCTCCTTCTGCTTCTTCTTCTTCTAATACTTCTTCTTCACGGTGAGCGTGAGCGGGCGAGGCTCATGATATCAGAAATTCTGATTTCCTTCCCCGAGAATTTCCATCACGAGCAGATTCCTTCGTTTTGGCAATCGCCATTCACCATACTGTAGTGTGCACGGTGGATCAGATTCAGCCCAACCAGTTCAGCTGTTCAGCAGGTGCTTGAATCCTCAGCGGAACAACAATCAGCAGCAGCAGTTGTTGCAGAAGAAGAAGAATCCGCCACCACCATGTTGAGTCCGCGACGAGAATCTCACGCGATCGAGAAACCGTCGTCGAGCAATGGAAGCAGTGCCGCCACTCGCAGGGACTGGTCGCACCTCCCGGCATCGACTCCCGGCACCGTACGCGTCATCCACATCTTCGCTCCCAAGGTGATTAAAACGGATGTGGCCAATTTCAGAGAGCTGGTGCAGAAGCTCACGGGCAAGTCGAAACGGAGTGGGAGTGGCAGCGGCAGCGGCAGCGGCAGCAGGAAACGAGCCCTCAAGACCAAATCGCTGACCTCGATATCATCCGATGGAACTTTCTCCAGCTCTGCAGATACGAATACCATTCAATCCTCCGCAGCCGCCGAGACCTGCTCCGAGGCGTCGACCAGGTCGTCGAATTCGGCCTCTCACGTTGCAGACAGTCACAGCGACGTGATGGCCAAATCTGCACTCCTCTTCTCATCCAACGAGTCGTCCACGACATCTGACAACACCTGCAAGCCCCTCGGACTACCCTCTTACTTCGGCTCCTCACACCCTCATCAGAATCACCATGGGCTACCAGCGGAAAACTCAGCTGCATTCTTCAGGTCCCAGGCGTGCAGTGCTGGGAGTCGCAATTCCAGAAGCAGCAGCCACAGTCAGTCTCGAGTCATGGTGGATCCGATGCAAAGCTTGAGCGGATACAAGGACAATTGGTCGTCGCTGCAGGCGAGCTGCTTCAATTTCAGCTCGAATGCTCAGAATCCAGCCTCGGTGCCGCAACAGCCCACACCAATTCAGAGCCAGAAACGTCAGGCGGGTGCTTACAATATGTCTCAGAATACCAATGGATTCAGCGACATGGACATTCTCACAGGCTTGGTTTCTCCGGGACCTGTACCGGAGTTCTCGTTACCTCCTCCTCTCATCAACAACAATAACAGCCACAACCACAACCTCATCATCAACGGCATCAACAATAACAGCTCAGTACCGACTTCTGAGCATTTCCTGCTGTCGAATCATCCGAGTCTCTGTCGAATGTCAGTGCAATCTCTTGTTTGCGGATCAGTGAGTCCGTTTGAGCACTTCTAGCGGTGGGGTGAAAATGGCCGCGAGCCACGAAAAGGGCCCAGGATTGGCATGTTGGTTTTGTCACATTAGACAGAGACGGAGTGAGAAGGAGGGAGTGAGAGGCGGGGACATAGAGAGGTAGAGATGGTGCCGGCCATGCCACATTACCATGATCTCTTTGGAGACTGCAGGTAGCATTTCACGATCACGGTGTTCGAGAAATCGAACATGAGATAGAATTCTGGCTAGCTAGCTTAGTCCCACGAGCATTTGGTTCAGACCAGCAACCGCGATCAAAAGCTTAATCAATCGAAGGGTGAGTCGACTCCTTCCGGCCAAGGGGAGTGATTCTCTGATCTGGAGAGTCTGATGGGACAGGACGGTGCTCGGAGCTCTGACTAAAGCTTCAGCTGCATGAGCCAGCGAGTGACCATCACAGCAAGTGGCCAGCATCTTTCGGCAAATGAGGACTGAATTTCGGGGACTTGCTATGACAAATCTTACGTTCGAAATTCGGCATGTTCTCTTCCAGTCGTAGGACATGTTCCAAGTCCTCATGATCTTCCTGGCCAGAGGTTCTGGGGGAGAGAGGCATGGAGATGTTGCCTACTCACGAAAGTGCAGACACCGTCGCGCATGGGCATGAAGGTGTCTGTCTATTTTAAGAATCACCACCTCCACCACAGCAAGCAAACCGTCTCCTCACTTGTTAGAATCATCATTTCACTTTTCTCTCTAAATCAGTGTGTGTATGTATGAGAGGGAGAGAGAGAGAGCTAAGATTGCTGTCACATGTGCACGTAGCTATGCACATGCTTGATTCAGCAATCCATCAGTTAGAAGGAAGGAGACAAGGACAAGGACCTCCACCCACTTAGCTCTCTTCTCTCAGTCAAAATCACGAAGCGAAGGAATCGTAGGCGTTCCGAGCCTGGCTATGAGCAAGATGTGAACAGATAGCAGCAGCTGCAGTGCGATTGGATGCATAACCGATTGCTTGATGCAAGCTTGAGTAAATACAGATTTAGACCAACCACCTTTGCAATGGGTGCGGCCTGTTTTGCTTCTCCGAGTTGCTAAATTTTAGCAGTTTAATAAAGATAGCTGCTAGACACATCGCAAATTCATCATCTGGATCTGCGAGTACGCTCGTACGCTGTATTACATTCTTCTTTGAACTATCGATTTGAAGCCTAAAAGTTCTTCGTTCTATGCATTCTTGTGTAAAAATAGTGGTAACGGGATAGTATCCTGGAGTTCCAACATGTGAATTCAACTTTGAGTTAGATGGATCAGCACATGCGATGTTTCACCTTTGCCCCACCTTTCATCGGCTCTTTTCGTAGTGGGGGCTGTTGCCTCCATGCAGTATTCAAAGTTGATTCTTTGAAACCACCGTACTTCTCAATGTATGTCACGTCGAGATCAGACGATCTACTTGTGATTCTTCTGCTTTGCTTCGCATAATTTTGCTGGTAGAAAGAGGAACGTGATGGAACGGTGATTCTGTCCAAAAAACATTCCCCTATTCATTCTGCTTGCTTTGCTGTCTTCAGGTGGGAGTTCATGCCTTAAATCGTTTTATGAACTCCTGTAACGCTGGCCGGGCTGGAGTCTTGGGCTTAGACCGGTCATACACAGCTTTTCCATTCATTCAGTTATTCCTCAACATTCTCTTCATCGATTCCAGGCACAATGAGATTGTACTCATTGTGCATTGCATGCGATGCCGTAGCCTCAGCTGTGCGTGCGGAGGGAGAAGGCGTGAGGAAGTTTATTCCAAACGAAAGACCTGCGTTGCGTTAGCTCTAGGACTATATATATTCGAGCCAAGTCGTATGACCTCGAATGTGCTTTCAGATCACTTTGTTAAAGAATATAAAATCTTTCACACGTATAGAAACATGTGTCCATGGTGTGGCATTAATGCAAGTCCAATAAGTGGTATTTCATGGGCTACGAACGAAATTCCAATCCGAAGGTAGACCGTGAACACTTCCTCATGCTGCGCAAGCATTAATGTCCTCGGGTTTCCCTCATCCATGTTTCGAAGAATACCAACAGCAGCAGCATCGCCCAAGAGCAGATTATTGACTTTGTCTTGAAGTTCGATTTGCTTTCATGTCCATAAACTATTATTCTTCTATCTACGGAGTTTTCAATTACCGGACTATGGAGATGATGGCTCTGGATTAGGCAACTCAGTGGAGAGAAGAAGGAAGGAAGTATAATCCAAATGCAGGTATCGGTTGTGGCAGGGGCAGGCCTCCCGCCGTTCCTCCTCATGTTCACTACTGACATCATCTCGATGCAGCCCTATCTCGCAGAACAGAACAACAGTGAGAGTGGGCCGGGTAGGTCAGAGCCAAGGAGGAGAGGAGGTGGAGGAGAGGAGGCGAGAAGAGGAGTAGGCCCGGGCGAAGGAGATGTCTGCCTGTAACGAAACTGAGCAACCGTGAGAAGAACATGATAAGATTGAAGGTGGGACCGACCAGATCAGCTGCGCTAGTGAGTCATAGGAGCAGAAAAATCGAGCCTCCGAGTTCTCAGTCCCGAGTCCTGAAAATTGACTGAATGTTCTGAGAATCTGAAGAGAAACTTGCGCCAGCTGTTGGGCAGCACCAGAGAAAGGGGGAATTTCATATACAAGTCATCTCTGGGCTCGCCCATCGTCCCTTCCTTCGCTTCGCTTCCCTTCTCCATGCATGCCAAGCCCCGAAGCTCCCGCCCTGCAAACCGAGCGTGCGTTGGACAATTGAACACTCTTTCCTCTTTCATAGCCGGGAAAGTGGACATCCTCACGCCCCTATTTTCCCCTCCGATCCATTCCTTCCTTAGCTTGTACATCATCTGTTTCACGTGTTTGTGGCTCTTATCCCGAGGCCTCTCATCTCGTAGAGAAAACGCTTAGTCCTCAGGCTCCAGTCTAACTCTAATACCTCAGCCATCGCCTACCTTCTCTCGCCGTGTCCTACTGTAAGGAAGCTGCCTCCTCTCCCTCGCTCCCTTACTCCATCTCTCATCGTGTCTACTACCTATGGCGCGAGTGAGCACACGCTAGTCTAGGGGACGACACGCCACAACAGCAGCGAGCCAGCAGCTCCGTCGTAGGTTACTAGTAATCCCAGCCCACAAGAATCCATCAACTCATATTCCCATGAGATTCATGAGAGTGTTAGGGAGAGCACTCCCTTGAGGAGAATGTGGCTGCTGCTGTTGCTGCTTTTGCTGCCGGGGTCTGATGCAAGAAATCGGATTAGAACAGAATCAAACCACGCCTCCCTGCCCTCCCATTGCTTTGGTAAGAGTTAAAAGATGAACAGCGAGCGAGAGAAACCCTCCACTTTCGTTGGCCCTTGCCCTCGCCTTCAATGGCGCTGGCCTCGGAAAGCTAATCTGGACACCGGGATGACTGAGGGGGCAGGTGCACTGCAGCGACCGAGAGAATACAAGGGCTCCAGTTGTTCATGGAACCCAGAGATGATTGAAATCAAATCTGATCCCAAAGCCTCGATCCTGAACACCTTGCTGCCCGGGGATGGGTCAGCCAGGAGACAGCAACCGCAGCCCCTCCCTCATTCTCTCTTCCACGTCAAGCCCACCATCGCCATCCGCATGAGAAAAGACAAAATATTACTGCAAATTATTGAAAATGAACCGAGAGAGATAGACAGTCAGTGATTGACCGACTGACATGACTGCGTTCTCGTATTCATAGACTCGCCGCGAAAGCCCGTCATGATCAGAAAGCCTACCCCCCAGCCTAGAGCTCTGTATTATTATGTGTGCTTGTCAGCTTCAGATTTTGGATGCAAGCAGCAGCCAAACAGACCCTGTGCAGGGAAGCAAGAGGGCGAGCTGTGAAGGACCGAAAAGGTGAAGATTGCAGTTCGTAGGTACAGCATCGGAATTTCGTCTTCTCTTCTTTTTCCCCTCCTAGGCCCATTCTTCCATTTTCTCTTCTTCTCATGCTTCTGCTACGAAGATTGTTACTACTGTTTCTTGTTGCTATTGCTGCTGCTTCTGCTGCCTCTGGTCTATTGCTCGTCTTATTCTTTGGATGCTGCAGAATCAGGTGCAGCTGCATGAAAGGCACGTGGAGCATTAGATGTTTCGAAACAGTAGCCAGCGAGGTGACGCCATCCCGTGTTGCACTGAACAATCCTTCTTGGTAGGCCAGGCAGCAAGGTCTTCGTGATTCAAGCTTGAGCCAAAGCCTAAGCTCGAGCCACGGACTCGAGGTTTTTTTCCTTTCGTTCGCTTTTGACCCGGCAATAGCAGCGGCAGCAACAGCAACAGCAGCAGCTGCGAAACATGGAGGTGTTGATTTCAAGCTCTCCACTCCATTTCGCTGATCTGGAGCCCATAAGGCCCCACCGGATCCCAGCATTTCTTCGCCTGTATGATCTGCAGCTCGTCCCTGTTTGCCAAATGACTAACACATTCCAAGTGCCTTCACATGCCATGCTGCTGGAAAGCGTTTCGCAAAGAGAACACACTCCCTCACATCCACACTCACACTTACAGCCCGCAAGGCCCCACCCAGCCTCACTTCTGTCATTCCTTACTTGCTTACTCGTTTGTTGCAAGCTTCTTTTCTTTCAATGCTTCCGTCCTCCCTCCTTGGCCTTGACGACTCCCATGGTGTCATGCACTCTGGCTAAGATAGAGACACAATGTGCGTTTTTTCAAGAGCATTCTAGTACTGTACAGCGCACACCACAGTCCGCCACCCACTGCAGCACTGGCTAGCGGGTCTTGTGGGGTAAAGGAAATCATTCATTCGCCCATGCATGCTCTCAACTCATCACTCACTCTTGTGGGCCGATAACGGATATCTTACTCCCTCCCCTCCCTCCTCTCCCCTCCTTCCTTCCTTCCCCTCCTTCATTCCTTGGGCCCAGAAGCCAACCGACTGACCGACCCCTCCATTCTCCTGCCCACTCTCCTGCCCACGAAGCATCGCCCCATGTGCTACTTCCGTCCCATCTACCCAGCGTTCCGAATGCAGCGAGCATCGGCTCTGCTGCTGTTTTCACTCGCTGCTCACTAGTAACTAGTTCACAGTCGTTGGCGCTACTTTCTCGTCTTTACTTGGCGGAGTGGACATGCCGTCCCACTGTGGGGCCGGTCGGACACCCCTGAGTGACACCCCCGAGTTCGAGGGCCTTATGAGCTCGGGACGAATCAGGTGGTAACTCTGTTGAGGTACGATGGCCTTAATGCGGCTGGGGATCACCCCACTTTGGTAGTGATCGTGTGGAAGGTCTGGAAAGGTTGAGACGTGGAACGGGATGGAGTTCAGAGCATGCCTCCTTTAAAGTGAGCATATGTAAGATTCATATCTACAAGGTACATCCGAAGTGAGATGAGTCTCTGCAGACTGTGCATGATTGAGTTGTCTCTGAATATTGAAAGGCTAGACGTACCCTTCTCCTCTAGTGGGAACGATAAGCATGATGAGAATATTCACACGGTTTAGGCTAGTCAAAGAGCACAGAGAACATCTTTAGCAAGCTCTTCGTCATTGCTGACTGGTCCAGGGTCCACTGCACACCGCACTTTCTTTCGTAATAGTCGAAAGCTCCGTTTGTGACTTCATCTCCTCACGATGTGACTGACAGGCAGAAAGGCCACACCATGTTAGTGTTTGGCTGCCTTGGGAGGACTCCTTTCGCACGGCATTTATCCGGTACCCGGGCAACTTGACGATTCCTGCTTGCAACGCACTTCGAATTTCTTATGTACATTCCACGCTGCAATTTACCAAGACAGTGGAAACTTTAACAAAGTTTACTCCTACTTAGTGATGGTGTGTTCACCATTACACTTCATGTAAGCTACGAGATGACTCGGTTTGCCGACAATGTTGTCCAGAAGTGAAGAACTTTTCGTACTTGAACATGGAATGTTGGGGCCGAAGAGGGAAGTAAGTAGGATACTGCTAGTTCTCCACACTGCTGTGCACAGTACCCCATGTATACACAGCATGCTTGACACAAAATAACTGGCACAAATTTCGCCTTTTCCAGTAAATAAATGTACAAGGGCTGACTGATGAACATGAACTGGTCTCATGATCTAAGAGGCTTCCCAAACAGGTTTACCTCACTCTGTCTCTATAAGAATGAACATATCCTTTCCTATCAGAATCGAACCTACTCGACTTTTGATATCTAGGGGTTGATGTTTTCTCTTTCCTTTCCTCCATGCGGTGATCTTCGTGAGAGGCCACATAATCTTCTTCGTCAGAATCATGTCTCCTATGCTTTGGAATGGTGTGAAGAGGTGACTCCCGTTCCCACCCCTTCTTATGGAGATCTTCTCTATGAGGTTCAGCATACCCTTCGCTATCAGAATCGTGTCTCCTCCGCGTCTGATGATCACGACTAGGGGATTCCTGTTCCATTAACCTCCTATTCTTGTCTTCTCTGTGAAGGCTTACATTCTCTTCGCGATCCGAATCGTGTCTCCTCTGCTTGTGATGATCGCGAACAGGTGAGTTCCGATCCCTTTCCCTCCTGAGCTGGCCTTCCTTACTAGGGTTTACATAACCTTCACCATCAGAGTCGTGCCTCATTTGCTTTTGATAGTTACCATTGAGTGAATCCTCTCTCCCTGTCCTCCTACGCCGCTTATCAATAATTGAATCGCCACTTGAACCTGAGGAATTTACTAAATCCCTCTCAGGTTCATTTCTCCTATTTTCATGAACCCTCGGGGTAGGTGATTTTTCTGTTCTATATCTTTTAGGGCGCCGTGAAGGCTCATCATCACTAGAACTGTCATAGTCGATGTTTCTCCTTCTGTGGTTCTCGTTAGTACTTTCATTTCTGACGTTCAATGGTCTTGAGTCTATAGTGCTATGACCCCTTCTCAACCCATGTCCCCTCCCTCTACTGCTATCGCTATCACTACTATCATAGCTTGTTTTCCCGTTCCCCTCCTTCCTTATCTTAGTATGATCTGAGCTCGCTTCCTCCTTATCGTGCCTCCTCCTGCCTCTATCTTCAAGTCTGCCATGAAGCGTAGAGTCCCTCCTGTCACACTTACTCCTATGGCCTTTATCTTCCTTCAAGGCCTGCACGTTCGAAAGCACCGACTATTTAGTGGGGAACAGAATAAAGTCAAGACACTTCTCGGTACCTACTCCCTATGCAGGCAAACCGTACAGTTTGCACTCGAATCGACACGCTGTATCAAACATGGACTCACCAGCTCCAAGTTCTGTACAGCGGGGATAGAAGAAGGACAAGACGCAAGATGTCCAGTACACAGGAGAAACTAAACTAATGTTAAAGAAAAGTACAGGGATAATTTGGTTAAGAAGTCACTGATAACTTAGCATACTTGGTCACTTAGTCACTTGTCTATCATGTAGTGGTTACTAGCCCTCCAGGAGAATCAGATTGAGCGGCCGAGTGCAGACTGGTGCTGCTTTTAGCTCCATAGTTCCAGTCTGTACTTCATGGTTAATCTCCTCATTTGCTGATTAATCGTCAATCAGGAGAGATGAGTGTGGAGAGTAGAACTGTGTTACTTCTCAAATCAATAAAACTTAAAAAGCATGATGACAACGAATTCATATACGAAACCATTGGGGCCATTAGGTGAGGAGTTTTGGCATGGAGACAGGATGCTTTGCAGTAGACTGCTGATGACAGTGGCAAAGGAGAAAGATAAGAAAAAATGTTGTAGCTACGACATTCGAACATATGTCAAGAATGCATGAGGAGCTTCGTCCTTTACGTGTTTCACTGAGTAAAGAGACAAGACACGAACTTTGAGCTGTAAAATGTTTGAAATGAATAGCCTGGACAGCTTCATGGGGCTACAAGATAGTACCAGAATGCACATTCTCTCTTTGAACGAACAAAAGAAATTCATCCTCCTCTCATGCATCAAACATTATCACGCTAGGCACTGATCTTAGAGCCATACTGTGTGGTGCGTGGAGCCAAGGTATAGACTAATCTCTCTACAAAATGCATGTAATAGCCTTGTGAACACACCAGTATGTGGAATGAGACAACCAGGGACTTGATGTTCACAAGTAAAAACGAATGTCAGAAACTGTGAAAAACTCTGAATAAAGCAGGACTAGAATGATCTATGTGGACAAGGATTGTGCAAAGCAGCTCTTACACTCACCATGAGCGTTTGGCCAAAAAGTAACGCTCACTAAGATGAAAAATGTGGATAATGGTAATTCAATGGTTACTTATAGTACAAACATCAGAGATGAAATGACTAAGATTCTCTACATCACAATGAAATCTGCAATTTAATATGCTCAAATGATAATTCAGATTTCTTTCAAACATCTTGACATACTTCGTTGACAATTCGTTTCACAATCAGAGTCTCAATTTTCAAGATTACGTATGATCGAACATATGACGATCCACATCAGCACTAAGGGAGAAGAGAGGGTAGACAGCGGAGTCACACAATCTTTGTCAAATACAGCAGATATGGGAAGGTCTTAATTATTCTTAAGAGGCTAGTCTGATGCTCAAGATGATGTTCCAGGACGTTATAATGCTCTCAGGTGAAAGTATAACTATCTATCTGGAAAACGTCAAGAGGCGTTGAGTCAAATTCTTGGTTAGCGATGGCTATTGGAAACTACGGCCTGGAGCCAAGACCAAGCCAAGTATAAAGCGGGGTTTCATCGAAATTTTCGTGAACTCTAAAGCCCTTCCCCCGCCTCGCAGTTACGTGGAATTACGGTGAATAGTGAATAGATATGCGAAATTAAATATACGCGGCATTATTGTGAACTGTGTTGTCACATCTGGCACTTCTCAACCCGCCGGCTGGGAGCCGTGAAGTAGCTGTTTGAATTACATCAAGGTGTCACTGGCTCGTACCATGGTATGTTGTTATATTTGATTGTTATTTGTTGAAATACCTAAAGTTAATCGTCGGCCCCGCCGTCGTCTGATGAGCGATTAAGACATCTATATGACCGAAAAAAATTTCTAATGTTTGACTATGAACGGCTCTCCTCACACTTCATCCTATTGGTACTCGCATCGTCAACGCAGAGATTGTTAAAGACACGAGCAAAACTTCATTCTGTGCTGCAAAGTTAATGTCCTATTTGCTTATACAATTCACTCTTATGTTGCTAAACTCTTGATTCAAATTTTAAGATACAGAACTTCCAGGTTGGATGTGTTCTTTACATAATACACGAGGATATATACAACAATCTCATCTATACATCGCGTTCATTCCGATCTTTCTCTCAGACCTACTATCGTGAAACACAACTTAAAGGCAATCATCTCGAATAAACGGACTTTGAATATTCCACAGCTGACACGGTGATCCCCAGATACAACAAGTACTGGAAGTTTGAAACGCTACCTTTCTTCGAGCACGTTTCGATTCCCTTCGCATTTCTTTCGCCTTCCGCTTCTCTTCTTTTCTCTTCTTCCGTGCAGCTCCTTCATCTTCAGACCTTTCAGAACCGTCATGCCTGCTCGGGGGTCCAGCAACAGCTGGTATGTCCTCTGAGGTTTCCAAGATGTCTTTAGCTACAGCCTTCTCAACTTCTTTCCTGAAGGGCTCCTGAGTAATTTGCACAGAGGGAAAAGCGACGTTTTCATCATTTTCTTTAACCTGAACTGTCCGCTTAACTCCTGCTTGCCCATCTGTTTGTCCAGGTGCTCTGCAGTGAACAAAAGCATTTAATCAGCGAAGTCGCAAAAGAAAGCCTTGAAGTTTTTCAGCGTGACAAACCAGTTATCCAACCCCTTGAAAACGAACTGGAGAGTAAAGTAGCCGCCTTTCAACTCCAAGAAAATGATTTCCCGAGATTTTATATGACATTAAGTAAGCGACTGATACCAACTAAAGTATGGGGAAGCCACGTACGGTGCAAATCCAAGGCCTTGTACTCGTTCTCCATCAACATAAGATGGGGCTAGCTCTTCTCCACTCTTCCCTTTTTTCAGGAGGTCCTCCACTTCTCGCTTATCTAATTGGCTGGTCTGTGGCCGCTTGTTTTTGCGAGGGGCCAAGCCAAGCATTTCCTTCATTGCATCTTCCTCTTCCTCCTGTATCCTTTTTATCTCGTCCTTCGTAGCTCCGTCTGATGCATGATCCTTGGTATACCAGTACAAGTCCTTTCCTGCGCAGATGGGTGCAAAGTGAAACGCTCCGTTCAGAAACTATTATAAATATGATAGCAATATGCGAATGTTCTATAAGACGTGCAAAAAAAATTTCCCTCTAACAAGAGTTTCAAGGAGAGAGAAGAAAAATTCTATCGGGGAAAGAGCTATGAAAGGGCCACTCTGAGAGATATAAAGAAGTTGTAACAAGGAGAGCTCTCTGGAGCACATCACATTGACCTAAAACCACTTCTTGTGAGACCGAAACACTGCACGGTAAACCATAGCCAACTGGTCTATAAGACCAAAGCCATACAGTCACATATAATGACCGACACACAAAAACTCACAGGGAAGCAAAACCAGTACCAAAAAGTCATAATCAACAAACCTTGTCTACAGCCTCGTGACAGAAATGTACAGACAGCGGTAATTTGAGATATATCTCGGAGATCTGACACCTCTTACCCCACACATTGTAAGCCTATGTGCATGTAATACGAAATCCTCACCTTTCTGCCATCTTCCAACAGGAGCCTTGACGCTGTGTCCCAGGTAGTTCTCACGGTGTTTATCTCCCTTCACATCATCCCAGTTGAATTCTGCGAAAAACGGAGCTTGCAGTAATTAGCCGTGGAAATATGATTTACATAATGCCTGTAAGAAGACAAAAGTATATCGAGCCATATCACTGAAATATGGTAACTTCGTGAACCTCATTAGAAATTCAACGGCGTCAGAGTCAGCCGTGTGAATCAAAGTTCTCGAATTCCGCTGTTTCCCTGTATTGATCGACATCCTAATGCAAACTAGTCTGGGCAGCAGCCCATGAATGGGAAGGACCACCATGCAACGAAAGGACCATACATCCCAAACAGCTTATAACAGGCTTTTGCTTCGTGAAGTGAATTCCAATGAATTCCGTAAATTGCCTTTGAGTGATCATCGAAACTTGTCACTGTCCTTCTGTTACGGGCCTACTTTCAAATTCCTTAAATTGACTAGCTCCAGCATACTTCTTCTAAACAAGTTATTATTCGCTCCCACTCCCCAGACTGCTGTAAGTCAAAACTCAAAAAACACCATTGCACTGAAGGCATACCAGATTTTCAAAGAACGCGGAATAGGTTTGGACGCATCGAAGTCACAAGCTGAATCTACTAACCCTCCATCTATTGCTACGGCTAACAATTTCGATCTGAATTGATCTAGTCTCAGTGTCTGCATATAGCCTTGAAGATCATTTAAGCGGTCACTAGAAGTGGGATTCCAGTTGTGAGAAGGTAAATCGAGATAGGCACTTCGAAGGGTTTCACTCGTGAACGCAATACCGACACGATGCAGGAGAAAGAAACAGCGAGCGATGCACACTACTAGCAGGACGATGCTGTGAAAGAGATATTCGTGCAATCAGAGAAGGAAAGGGACTTACGATCACGCCCGCCTCGAACACCACCGCGCGAGGGATGATACATTGTGGCACGCAAGCCCACAGTACGTCAAGCACTGCCGCCTCGCAATTGCTTTCCAACCAAGCCAAACATCGAACGTCGACGCCACAAAACGCTCAGCTCCCGGAGCGGCTACTCGCTGCACGTCATACGTAACACAGAATGTCTAGCCGACAATACAGAGCTCTCAATCACAAATCCGCCGGCGAGAAATCGCCAGCCTTCTCGCAAGCCTCCATTCTCTCGGTCAAACGAATGACACAAAAAAATCACAAGATCGAAGACTCGCACTCGTGAGTGCGAGTCGGTCGACCTCCCTGACCACCACCGACGTCTGCGGCAGAAGCCCGTCCACGGAGCAGCGGGTCAGAGGCCAGAGTGCGGGCGAGAAGGCACTCGAAACACTCCGCAGGTCAGCTTCGAGTTGATGAGGATTAGGGCTGGAGTTCGTGCTCTCATGCACTTCAGCGTCCTAAATTCGGCGTTGAGCTAATAATGACGTCGAGGATCCGTAGTCGATTTAGGGCTATGACGAGAGAGGGGACAAAGCGCGACTATTGCGCAAGAAAGAGAACGAAGCGCGGAACGCGAAATCTCGCTCGCTCGCTGCAGATGCAGGTGCAGCCCGACCAGCTCAACGCACGCAGGGAACTTTGGAAAAGGCAAAGGCAAAGGCTTCGCAGTTCATTCGCTTGCTCCCGTGGCCCGGGCCCGTCGGGCTCCCGCGATTGACCTGACCACCACCACCACCACCACCGGCGGCAGCAGCAGCAGGAGCAGCTGCAGCACGAGAGCACTGGTGCAATCACGGGGCCCCAGCAAGCCCACGAGCATCTTCGCAAGCATGGAGTTCGAGTGCTCTACGAGGCCTAGGATTCTACGACACCTAGCCTGTCACCGTACGTACGCCAGCCCGGAAATGGCAGAGCCGGAGTGGCGGGTTGGCAGGACGCTGTACCAGAGCAGAGCAGAGCACTGCTTGCGCATCCTCCGAGTCGAAACGAGTCCCGAGCGCTCGTTCTCTGCGCTCTCGCTCGCTCGCTCGAAGTGCAAGCCGAGCCTGGCGAGTCTGCCTCTCCCTGCCTGCCTGCCTGCCTGCCTGTCAGTCTGCCAGCGAGCCACCGAGCAATTAGAGCAGGGAGCGAGGAAGCGAGGGAAGGGGTGCCAAATGACTCCATACATTCACCGCCCGTGCATGTCCGGGTGACGTTCAGGTTGCCTCAAGCTTTGCTCGGGTGAGGGAGAGGGAGGGAGGAAGGAAGGAAGGAAGGAAGGAAGGAGATCGCTATGCCTGTGCCTGAGATTCTGGAAGGGTGAATGAATAGTTTGGCGATGACTCGTACAGTTGTTTGACCCGAGTGTATCGCTGTGTGTCCCCCGTTCTATGGAAGGTGTCCTGACCCGAAGGTTTTGGTTAAACCACCTGGAGCTCGCATATTTCAGCCGGCGCAACAGAGCAGACAGGAAGCAGCTTGAGTTCGCGCCCTCCTCCTCCTCCTCGGATACTTCCAGTGCACAGATCTCGTGGTCGGATCCGCATCTCGCACAAGTCCCGTCTGGACTATGCAGAATTTTAATCGACAAGCTGCATGCTCGTGCTCGTGCCCTGGCTCTGGCTCTGTGAATCTACAGCAGGCTTCTGAACGCGGACTCTCGTCTGCGTCCTTCTATCGTTCGAGTTTCGTTTCAGTAAGTACACGGTCATGAATTGGCGTTCTCAAGCTCCTGCTACGCCGCTGCTGGTTTTGATTACATCGTCGGGATTCGCCTTTGTGGTGGGAGCTCTGACCTTCTTCCTCTTGTCGGATTTTTTCGAGGTCACTCATCAGTCTCATGGGCCCAATGTGGACGAACGATACTACCGCGTGCTTCCGGTCGATCTCGTGAAATTCCGCACGAACTGCACTCAAAGCATTCCCCCGGAGAATGTGAAGGATTTTGTGATCGACAACCTTTTCGATGGAGCTTCTCCGTTTGATGACTTTCCGTCCCCTGAAATCGCTCCGCTCTTGAGGAAGAAGCGAATCAAGGGATGGGGTGCAGAGGCCCCTGTTTTCGAGCGGCTCATAATCGAGGTGCGGCCCAAGGTTATCGTAGAGCTCGGCTCTTTCCTCGGTGCCTCGGCAATCAACATGGGCACCATCGCGAGGAATATGGGCCTGGACACGATAATTCTCTGCGTGGATGACTTCCGGGGCTGGCCCGGGTTCCGGGCGAAGAAGTTCAAAGACATCAAACAGCAGCACGGCAGCATCATGCTCCTCCCTCAATTCATGAAAAATGTCCAATTCATGAACCTCACCGACATCATTCTCCCGGTTCCTTTCTCCACCACGGGAGCTCTCTCGTACTTCTGCGAGTGGGGCATTCGGCCCGACTTGATCGAGGTGGACGCGGCACACGATTTCCATTCAGCGTGGCTCGACATCAATTCCGCCTACGCTATGCTCAGTCCCGGAGGCGTCATGTTCGGTCACGATTACTACAATCGCGCCAACGAGGAGGGTGTACGCAGAGCTGTCGATCTTTTTGCGCAGCTGAAAGGCCTGAGGGTAGAGCCTGACGGCAAGCATTGGATTTTGAGAACTCTGTGATGCATGATTTTGCCTCTAGATACAACCATCTACTAATCGCCTAGTTGCAGAATAGAATACTGAATGTAGGACTGTAGTACTAGTGATCGGCTATCTCTCACCCGAATTGTCGAGAGTTTCATTTCCAATCCACAAGTTCCTCCGTTCACATTGTCGGAGGCTGTTGTTATTTTTTCATATATTTTGCGGTATCGAAGAATCAAGTACTCTTTCATGCAATGCACTCGCTACATATTTCAGACCTCCATAGCGTCAGTGCACGGTCCGAGACTGACGTATGAATGATCATATGGAAGAGCACACTTTATTTGACCCGACCAGAATGAAATCGAACTCCACAAGGAGCAGCAGAACAGAGCCAGATTCATGATTCAGCGACGGAAGTGCGGAGGAACGCATTGTACCGACGACAACCGCAGAAAGGAGACACGAGAGCATGAAGCCATGGACGCTTTCGGGGTAAAGGAGAGCTCGGTGACGTAGTTCTCTCACTCGTACGCAACCGGGTTCGCCTCTGGGATTCGCGCATGCCTCTCGTGACGCAAGGGCTTTCCTCATCACGGGTCACGAGTCGAATGGCTGAGGGCGTACAGAGCAGAATCTGCTTGACGGGAAGGTGCGTCCAATTCGATTCTTCTGAGGGGCAGATCATGATCTGTTTCCACAGCACAGCCCGCTGAGATCCCAGGCTCGGGGTGCGCCGAGCATGCTGGATTCGACATGCACCGATCCTCCGGCGCGGTCGTGCATCGACTCGGCTCGCTCAGTCTGCCAATGGGGATTCTTCTTCTGAACCTCCCTCCCTCCCTCGTCTCGTCTCGACGGGCAATAATCTACTCGTCGGTGGGCCTGCGAAGGCATGTCGCGCGCATTAAAGCCTCACACCGACACACCTCGCGGCTTCCTCTGCACGACGTCGTGGTGGTTGGACTCGGCCCGCTTCAATTGCTCAGGGCCTCGACGAAGGACTCGCTCCGAAGCTACGTAAAAGTCGTCCCGTCCGGAAGTGCTCGTTGCCCTCCGCCGCGAATCGAGAAGATCTTGTCGTCCCTTCGATTTTACCAATCATGAGGAACTTCTCTCACGTACCGATCGATGTGTATGCTGTGTATGGCTTTCCACTCACGCAGAATGCAGTGCACCGGATGCATCACATGGCCGAGCAAGCTGTCCATTCGATTGCATTTCTTCCCCCACTCGGGTCGTAAATCAAAGATATATTCTCCTGCGTGCTGAGTGCCGGTGGGTGTGCAAGGATACAAGGAACGAAATCATAAGGATCGAACGAGTCACGGACGACTGGCTGCGTCTTGGGAGTTAAACTGTAGAGCAATACTTACTTTCACATGCTCTTCACATCTGCGAATAACCGTAATTGTCGGCAGAAGAATAATGCTCCAGTGTGGTGGAAGATATTATTATGCATTACTCTTGTATTTCTGATGTTGGTACAAACAAACGCATGTAAGTCGTTCCAAGTGATGAACTGAGATGACATGGTCACCACCGAGGCTATTCAGGACGATGCACTCCACGTCTTACTTCGTGAAGGAGGGAATTTTGTGAGGATTTAGTCTGATTTTGTGATTGTGTGGATTTAGTCTGAAATGCCATGGAAGTTTTAGATGGTTATGCTACTCGTGTTCAGGTGTCTGTTGAAGAGTCTGCACTTGTATGTTGGGTCCACTCTGCAACATAATCCAAATTGACCTCCTCAAGAATGAGAGTCTGACTCGAGACTTATCGATCATTTGATTAAATTTACCCCTTTAAAACCTACGTCTTCGACCCGAAGACAAAATTTACGTACAGACCATAAGCATACAAATTATTACCAGTTTAGCAATGTTCTTGGCTACCTCTTCTGTCAGGAACTGGAAGGCTATCAGTGGAATGATGGCTTTACTGGATCGTTGGCCCCAATTCTTCAGCCCCTGCATAAATTTGATGATCTGATCGCTCCGGATATCCTATAATCCGATGATCTGATGTGATGCTTCGTCTCGAGCTATTTGGGGCCATCTACCTTCGCCAATCGTGCGAACTCATCGACACTTCCCGCGGCGAAGGTCGTCATTTGATGAACTTGGGACTACTCAAGATGGCACTAAACTTTCATTACTGTCTACGACAGACATTACTTCCGACGGTATAGTTTTGCAACACGTACTCTCTGGAAACTCTTAGCGTCCAAGCCTGGTGGCATCATTTCACATGTCCTACGCCTCATACGTGTGTACAATCCTCCGAATAGGCTTCGTGAGGATGATCCACATTTACAAAATGCAGTACTGCAAGAGGAGTTTAATGTACTTTCATCAGAGGCAAGATGTCTCTCCTGGAGCACACAGTGATGGGCATGTAGCAAACGGTAGGCCAGTTCACGTACTAAATGCGGGGCTCTTCATCATAAGCCCGCTTCATATGTCGGGCCATCTTTTTGCGTTGCCCAAGAATGTTCTGCCCATTGACTCATTGACCTCGATCCTTCTCCACTGTCTCAGGCTTTTCGATGTTTTTAAGACCATTCTGAAGCTTTACGATATTTTCAAAGGGTCTGGGTAACATTGACGGAAATTTTCCATACTTTGTTGGTTTTGCAGTTTTCCTCGATCCCCGCGCTTTCCAGTGCAGACAGTATTCACCCGGTTACCCACTGATGAAGCAACCGTGGTCCTGTGACGATGAAGTGATGGGAAGATGCTTTTTAAGGTCGCTGGTTCCTCTTTTCGCCTAGGATTCAAGGCAACGTAAAGCCTGTTGATCTGTCGGTGCATATGCTCTCATTTGTTTTCTAACCATGTTCCGTTATGTGCCTCTCCCACCGTGCACCTGTTCATCCCACTCACTGCTGCTTGTTTCAAAACTTTTCGGCAAATCAACTGCAGGCTCCTATTTCAGATTGTATGAGAATGTCTGGGGTTTGATATTGTCAATTTCTTCCGCTTCTTTCCTAACCTGTGTCGTCTTCTGTTCTTTATATCTTCTCACCTCATCTCATGCATTGCTGCTGTCTGATCTCCCTTTCCCGCAACTCACATCCAGGCTCCTCTTCTGGATGACCAATGAATGCATGTCCTCTGAATTCACAAATTTCTCTAGTTGGATGCTTCTGTATGTGTTCTCTGCCAGGTTTCACGGCTGTTCGTCATCGATTTGCCGTTCCTGTAATCTGGTAACGTGGTAGACAGTGTCCCTGCAGTTGTGACTGCAAGGACCTAGGTGCAACTGCAAGCTTTGCGAGCTATTTCTCGTTCTGCCGAATTGCGATGGCTATGTTATTGTCCACATTTTGGTACTGTACCTGAGATGAAACCCGAAAGACCTGCTTTGACACATTCTCCTTTTGGTCGGCTGAGAAAGCTCACGAACGATCAGAGTGCTCTAAGTTTCCAAGGATCACCTGGCAACATTCACTGAAGTAATCCTCGTGGCAGGACTGGCTAGACTCATTGTCTTATTGTGCTTCGGCTTGATGGGGTTTTCCCATCCTCTTGGCTACATTCCTTGGCCCTCCTTTGATTCTGCTACCGTCTCCCGTCTGAAGTGACAGGCAAGTCATGGCAAATCTCTTTTCAAAGTCAGATACACTGTGAAACTACTTATTGACATTGCATACGAAGAAAAACGAACATTTAACCGTTTCCCTCCTCCTCAGTTGTTTCACTAGGATCTTATTTTCACTCGCGCTAGTCAAAGGTGACAAGACGAAATAATAAACTCACTTGCCATGATAGCTGCCATGGAACGTCCAGAATAGGCACAGTCGATTGATCTCCCTCCCAAAAACCGTCATCTCATTGGCTGCAACGATAATAGAGAAACTTTAGATTCTTCATGTCAGCTGCAAAATTTCAAACCTGTCATTAATTTCTCGTGACAACTGTCAGAAGGTGCTTGAGGAAAAGAAGAGTAAACCGTGAGGAAAAGAAGAGTAAACCGCCAAACTTTTGGACTAAGTTGGGTCTCTGTGAACAATTTCCAGCTGCGGCCGTGGAATGTATGATCCCTCGTCGTACACACCCACAGATGACAATGCAGGAAAATATACCCCGCAGAATATACCCTAGCTTCTAGTCCTCCAGTATATGAGATTGCCGTCAACTGATGCTGATTTGATCTACTTTGGGTGGAATTTTTAGAGCTTAACAACCCCATAAGTTTGCATCAGACCAGTAACATCTTACTGGTCTTTGTCGGATCAGATTGACACACGGTTACTGACAGTTTACATCATCACTTCCGTTCGGACGCGTTAAGGTGGACAGTATCTGTCACCAACTCGATTTCCAGAGAAATCAGTCCGTAATTTCTGAATGTTTAGTCTTATTATGAGAAGAACATTTACCAACGAAGCGCAGACTACAAAACTCACACACACCTCTGACATCACACCAGCATTAAATTGGAGAGTTTACACATGCAAACTCTCTCTGCACATCATCGGATTGTTATATAAGTTCTACTTGACATGTGATTAGCAATTTTGTAAGATATGGGGATTTTATATAAACACATGGATCGTGGAAAACCCTTACTACTAGAATCCATTGTCTTTTTTAATACAATTTTCTTTCTATAATCCTCTCCCTTGATGCCAAATCTACACTCATCATCTTCATTAGTTTAAGTCACACATTACCGTTTGTTACAGTAATATAGCATATGCGTATCATGTATACTTCAAAGATATTGTAGACTCATGTTAATACATTATTTTTTTCTTTTTAGTATGAATAATAGAGAAAATTGATCAGTGGAAAAGTGTCGTGGCGAAAAGTTTTATTAGCAGTGGCAAAGGTGCACATGCCGAGAGCAAAAAAGATTCCTGAACTCGTGACTGAAGAACCAAATGTGTACTCATACTTAAGTATTTGTGAAGTCAAAATTATACAACCTGACAATGATACAGATTGGATAACACTATTTAGTGTAGACCAAACTTTTCAAGTTTTCACTTATACAGGTTGAAATAGTTCAGACTTATAGACTCGGAAGTAGTGTGGAGCACAAATTCAAAATTTTGAATAAAATGTACAATTACTTGAATTTAACAATGCTCATAAATTGGGGTTGGACTAATTTGAACTTTGATTACTCGAAGTGTCTAATTTTCAACCAAGTTACTACCAATGAAAACTGAACAAAGTTTTCCAACCCTATTTAGTGGACACATTTTTTTCTTAAGTCTATGTTCATCGTGATTGTTTTAATCTCAAATCCTACCCTTTGTGAAAGTATAGTTTCTTTAGAACTCTTGAGTTTGAGTCGAGGCTAACTATAACATTCAAGCCTTGAGTTATTTTGAATAAATTAACATTCCAACTCATTTGTATGTACAAAAACGCTTTCCACATGACAAAAATCATAAAAAAATAAAATACTAAAATTTTGATATATTCTCTTGGTTTTGTACCCCTAAATTTCATAATGATATAACTTTGTCTCCGGATGTTATCTTTAAATCAACTTTTGGTTGACAAATATGTTATCTCTCAATACATACTCGTACAAATTTTCAGAATCAAAATCAACTATAGAAAATTTAATTAACTCTATACAAATTATCCCAAAAGTTATCTTTTGATACACTCTACCCGTGAAAATCTTCTTGACTTCCAACACTCATAACTTCCTATATTTCTATCATATATATATATATATATAATCTTGGCTTCAAACAAATATCAAAACATACCTCAACTTTCATTCTATGATGAATATAAACTTTTAAGAATGCTTTTAAAAAAACCTTTTTTGGTCCCTAAGACCACTTTTCTCTCCACAGTACATGCTCTGGTGAACAAAACATACAAAATTACTTCTAGAATATAGTATGAAACTATTCAATAAACAAACGGTACTTCACTTTCAAGCATGATATACGCTCTTTCATTCCCTAGTGTTAATTCCAAGTGGACATTTTTTTCTAGCTAAAAACCAAATCTTGAACATTTTGCTTTCTAGATTGAATTCGCGGCAACGGAACCCAAAATGCAACGTACGGATTGACTCCCATTCAAGTATTCCTCACATGGCTTTGCGATAGCTCATCATGGTTCTAGAAGATTGGTTTACTTTTCATGCTCATGTAACAAACACACTCTTAAACATTCTCTCCAAAATACACTCAAATTCACCCACACATCCACACTCCAAGATATTGAAAACTCTTTTCTTTCATTGATGAAACAAGTCTCTACACATGAATTGTCCAAACTTGTTAGAGAGTCGTTTTCTTACCTCTCTACTTAAACTAGTTGAGATTTTACTATAATAACAAATGATAATTCTTATCTAACTTACTTTTATCAAGATAGATCATGATAAGTTTGATTAGTTTCCATTACGTGGCAACATGCCATTGGACTTTTAAACCTTCTAGATGTTTGCTACTTCCTAGATGG